CAAATCCCCAGCGGGGGCATGCTGGAGGTGGCCAATTGATGTTCTCTCTCATCAATGTTTCTATCTCTCTCTCCCTCTCCCTTCCTTTTGCTCTAAAAAAAAAAAAAAATCAATAAAGAAGAAAAAAAAAGAATAAATAAACAGCCAGGCAATGTTTACACAAGGTCTGTTGTGTAGCTGCTCTCTCTTGATTTGCAGGGAATCAACCCTTTCCTAAGTTACCTTGTATAAGAAACCACCTGTGGCAGTCTCCTTTGTAAGAAGGGGCTCTGGGCACAGTGGATTTTAAAGTCTGCAGATCAATTAGTATATTCCACCTCTTCCCTCCATATTCAGCTGCAAAGAACTCCCATCCAACCTAATCCAACTATTGCATTGACCCACCAATATAGACATCTAAGTTGTCTTTTCTCAGTGATGGAAAGTAGAATGCTCTTGGATAGAGACAGAACCAGCGGGTTTTAAAGTTGAAAGTTACCTTAGAAATTCTATAGATGGGAAAACTGAAGTCTCAAGGGAAGGCGAGTGGCTGGTTAGTGTGATCTCATTCATCGTCGGGATCCCCACTCCAGGAACTGCCTTCTTCTTTGGCCCTCAAGTGCCACCAAACTGCCCTAGATCCCGAAGTCTTCTCTATAAGGTCTACCAAATGACTAATCCTATCCCCATAATGTCATGTTTCCAATCAAGAAAAAATGAAATCGGGGGAAAAAAGGCAAACTGGCTATATTTAGTCACTTTTGGACCAAATTTCTATCAAGACCAGAAGTCTAGGCAAGGATTTTTTTTTCTTTGTTTGGTTTGTTCAGATCTTCTCAACCCCCAATCTTGTACTTGGAAAATAAGAACCAGCCATTTATGGGCTGTCGTCATTCTAATGAATGATGTGAGCCTTCTCTGCTCCCTAAGTGCATATCTCCTTTCCGACCCTTGATCCAAGGCAATTAAGAAAAGCAATAAAATCACAAAACCTCACTTTTGATCAATGCATTCCGGCCAGAGGGAGATCAGGTTGTCCTTACAGAACATCTATAATTAGATTGGGTTTGGAATTTGGACTGCCGCATTGAGTGGGGGAAAAAGGCATAGTTTTAAATCACCATCTCAAAATTTCAGAAGGATCTGGATGAAAAGGCTGTAAACAGAATTAGGACTGAAATCAAGGTATTTTAAAATCAAGTTACCTCATTGCAACACTCTGTTAAGTAGCTAGTTGAATAGTCAGGCCTTGTACAAATGAGGGATGGTACTTAGAGGTCACCAAACATCTTTTCTAGCCCAATTAAGCAACAATAATGAAAGGGAATAAGATATTCTGATACACGTTAGGGACTCCCTTGCTCCTCATGATACTTTTAGATGTCATGAAGCTATAAGCTGAACTTACTTTTTAAAAACAACAATTTTAGGCAGTGCCCCCGGTGTCCCCTGGACCTGTTTCTTGCTTCAACAGTGTTTGGACGGAATAGACCCAGAGACGCCCCCTCTTCCAGCCTCTAACCACCTTCCAAATTCTTTTCCAATCACCACCTTCAGAACGTCAGCCTCCCAGACCAGCCAACACCGTTTTCTGACCTGCTTCACTCCTTATTGCGGAACAACCGTGAGCTCCCTACTTTGTCAGAATTACTCCACCGAGGTGGAGGCTGCGATCAACCACCTGGCCAACCTGCACTGTGGGCCTCCTGCACCCACCTCTCTCTGGGCTTCTATTCCCACCGTGACGCTGTGGCTCTGAGGCTGTGGGCCACTTCTTCCTCGAGGGCGCTGAGCATCCCTTAAAGCTGCAAAACCAGCGCGGTGGCCGCGCTCTCTTCCAGGACCTGGTGAAACCTTCCCATGATGAGTGGGGTGAGCTCAGGACGCCATGGAAACCTTGGAGACTCTGAACCAAGCCCTTTTGGATCTGCATGCCCAGGGTGCAGACCCTCACTCTGTGCTGGAGAACCACGTCCTGGAGGAGCAGGTAAAACTCATCAAGATGATGGGCAACCACCTGACCCACCTCCACAGGCTGGCCAGCCCCGGGCCGGGCTGGGCGAGTATCTCCTCGAAAGTCTCACCCTCAAGCACAACTAGGAGCCTTTGGAGTCCAGAGGCCTTTGAGGGGCCCCTCTGCATTCCCCTGGTGTCCCTGGTGTCTGGCTTTTGCTTGAGCCTCTCCCTGAAACCACTAACCATTCTTTTACCCACCCTGGAGCCCTCATTGGACCAAATGGAAACAATTAAACCTTTTGCAGCAATCAATCAATCAATCAATCAATCAATAAATACAATTTTATTGAGGTATAACTTATGTACACAACTGCATCTATAAAAAGTGTACAACTCAATGCACTTGAAAGATGTATATACCCATAAAATTATGACTGCAATCAAGATACATTTCTATCTACCCCAAAAGTTGCCCCATGGTCATCCCCCACCATCCTTTGTCACTCAGAGAACCATTGATTTATTGCTATCATTATAAATGAGTTTACATTTTCTAACATTTTTTTAAATAAATGGAAACATACAATACGTACTCTTTTGTTTCTGGTTTCTTTCATTCAGAATGATTATTTTTAGATTCACTCATGTCACTTGTGTATCCATAGTTTGCCTTCTTAACTTCTTAATTTCCTTCCCAGAATGTTAGTTGCTGTTTAGAAACAACTGATTTTTGTGAGTTGATCTTATACCCTACAACTTTCTTACACCCTATAACTTTGCTGAATTAATTATTAGCTTTGGTAGCTTTCTTATAATTCTTTGGTATTACATACAGATGGTCCCCGACTTACAATGGTTTGACTTTGATTTTTTGACTTTATGGTGGTGTGCAAGTGATACACATTCAGGAGAAACTGTCCTTCGATTTCGAGTTTGATCTTTTCTTGGGCTAGCAATATTCCCTATGAAACTCCCTCATGATGCTGGGCGGCAGCAGCCAGCCACAGCTTCCAATCAGCCACAGGACCACGAGGGTAAGCAGCTGATGTTCTAGCAAAGCTGTTTTCAACCAGTGTGTCACAAGAGTTTTTAAAACACGCAGTACCTGGCCATTTAGTCAGGGCACTGACCCCTTTTCCCTTAGATTGTCCAAAAAAAAAAAAAAAATGACAGCAGCCAACACAAAAATAGCTGTCCAGTGTGAATGCCCTGTCTTGAAGCATAAATATATAGGTCATACAATTGAGTTAAATCTGATTGGTTAATTCTTGGTACCAGACATCCTTATATACAACTATAGGCATCAGGTTTTTATAAAAGTAACTTTGGAGCAAAAAGATAGGTAATAACTATTATATTTTTGTGTAGAGCTCTCAAAATTATACCTATTTTTTAAAAAATATGTTTTTATTGATTTTTTAGAGGAAGGGAGAGATAGAAACCTTGATCGGTTGCCTCCTGCACGCCCCCTACTGGAAATTGAGCCCCCAACCTGAGAATGTGCCCTGATTGAAAATTGAACCCGGACCTCTCTGTCCATGGGATGACACACTGGCCAGGCAATATACATATATTTTTTGTGTGTGTGAGATTGGCAAAAAATATGTTTTTGGCATGCTGCAGAATTTTAGTAATTACTTTATGTGTGCCATGAGGTGAAAAAGGTTGATAATTGCTGCTCTAGTGTAGCATCAAATGCATTTTCAACGTACATTTTCAACATACAATGGGTTTCTTGCGATATAAAGTCACCATAAGTAGCATCGTATATATCATATGAGTATTTTTTCCAATTTTCAGCTTGCCTTTTAATTTTCCTAACCATATTGTTCAAAGAGCAAAAGCTTTTCAATCCAGTTAATCAATTTCTTTTCTTTTATGGTTGGTGTATTCTGTGTTCTAAGAAGTCTTTGCTTACCCAAAGGTTGTAAACATTTTCTCCTTTTTTCATTTAGAAGTCTTAGCTTTATTTAGATTCTTTTTTTTTTTTTTCAAGTTAATTTTTATGTGTTGTGTGAGGTAAAGGTCTAAGTCCACTGTATTCCCGCTGGATATGTAGTTGTCCTCATTATTTGTGGAAGACTCCCCTTTCCCCCATCAAATTACCTTGGCACCTCTGTAGATCATTTGAAGATATATGGATCTATTTCTGGACTATCCTTTTACCATACCACAGTTGACGTGTAGTATTCAGTCTTGAAATCAAGAGGTATCAGCCCTCCGATTTAGTTCTACCAATTCCATTGGCTATCTTCTAGGACACTTGCATCTCCACACATTTAAAAACAGTCCTGTCACTTTCTAAAAGTTGCTGGAATTTTCACTGGAATTGTGTCAGGTCTAGGAATCAATCTGGGAGAACCGACAGTATCAGTAACCTTGAGTCTAATATTGAGTCTCCCAATCCTTGAATAGATTACTTCTCTCATTTAAGTCTTTTCTGTCACCAATGTTTTATAGATTTCACTGTACAGGTTTTACGCATATGCTGTTAAATTTGTAGTTCATGTTTTTTCATGCTATTGTAAGTGAAATTTTTATTCATGCATTTTCCATTTGTTTCAATTGTTAGTTCACAGAAATACTATTGATTTTTCTGTAATATTGACCTTGCTAAACTCACTTACTGTAATGGTATTTTATAGATTCCTTAGGATTTTCTTTATAAACAATCATGTCACTTGCAAAAAGTTTTATTTCTTCTTTTCTCATCCGTATGCCTTTTGTCTTTCTTCCTATAGGATGTCCAGTACCGTACTGAATAGAAGTGATCAGAGTGGGCATTCTTGCTTTGTTCCTGACCTTGGGGAGAGAAGCAGTTGGTCTTTCTCCATCAAGCTTTTGATATTAACTGTAGATTTTTCAGAAATGCCCTTGATCAAGCTGAAGTTCATTTCTAGTTCTACTTTGCTGAGAATTTTAAAAGTGAGTAGCATATGAATTTAATGCATTTATTGGTATGTTTCCCCTTTTTTTTGTTAAAATGGTTAATTATACTGACTGATTTTTGAATGTTAAACTAACATTGTAATACTGGAATAAATCCCACGTGGCTATGATGACATACTAATATTGTTAAAGATTTTTGTGTTTAAGTTTATGAATGATATTGGTCTTTTATTATCTTTTTTTACTGTCTTTGGTTTTGGTATGCGAGTGATATTGGTCTCATGACATAAATTGGCAGGTATACTCTCCTTTCTGAGTGTTTCGTAGGATGCGTATTATTTCTTACTTAAAATGATAGAATTTATAGGGGAAGCACCAGAACCCGGAGTTTTGTGAAAAGGTTGTGCTAGTCAGACTTTCAATTCTGAAGACAGATCCTGCCAAGAAGCTTTCCATTGCTGGAAAGCCCACCACTGTTAATACCACAAATACTAACTGGAAGTGAAAAGCAATACTTACTAGAACGTTGACTGTGAGGAGAGATCTCTGTCCATCAAGTTGTTATGCAGGTGGATAGAATTTTACTTTTATTTGTAATAGTGCATAACACCTGGCAAGAAAGAATGAGCTCAAGCATCTACCCCCATGGCTATCATGATCCTTCATTTTTATTCCCCCTTCACAAATTCATTTACCTTGCCAGATGCTAAGATCAAGCTGGTACCATTTCTTGTTGCTAGAGCCCCAGAACCCAGCTCAGTGCTAGGCACATGGCAGGCATTTAAATATTTGTCAAGGCACGGACAGCAACAAACCCAGATAATGGTTCCACACTGTTAGGGCAACAGACAAAAAGTTGAATTCAGGAGTAACTCTTCTTGGAACCAGGGAGAAAAGATGCCCAAAGGATACTATAACTTTCTTCTCGGTAGTGTAAACTGAGGAATATTTAAATGAAATTAGAATTCCTTAGGAAAATTTTCAACTCACTGTAGCTTTTACACGGTTAATACATGAGGCTCAATAATAATTATCTTTGAAGTTGTTAAAACAGCAGACAGCACCAGAATTTGGCCACCAGCCCTAGGTCACTCATTCCTTTGAGGACAGAGGCAACATAACAGAATGGAAAATACACTGGATTTGGGAGTTGTAAGACCTGGACTTCAAGGGAATGTGTGTTGGTCTTAAGCTCAAATGAATAAATGTAGAAACACTTATTACACTGCAGAAAGAAGTATACAAAGGTGGGTTGATAGTAAATGAGCCACAGAAATGAACCAAATTATACAAGTCATGTGAGTAGGAAGACAAAAACTTACGTCTCTCTCTGGATTGGGAGTAAATGCCACAAAGTCAGCTTTAGCAAAACAGGTTAACAGGTAAAGGGATTGTTCTGTCCCACCAACTCTCTTCACTTCTCAGTTCCTACCCTTTGCCACCCCACTATGCCCACCCCATATCCTTCTACCACTCCAGCAGGACCCAATTCACATCCATCCTTTCAAAATAAGGGTTACCTTCAAATTTCAAGTCCTCTCAGCTTAATACACAAATCCACAGCTCAATAAAACAAACCTTCCCGAGGATTCTGAGTTTTAAATCTAAAGAAATTATTTTTTTAGAGCAAATTCCAGTTACCATGTCAGGCAGATTGGGGGGGTGGGGGCTGTTTTAGAAGCAGAGGAGCCTTATCTCGGGACCTATTTTACTTCCCAAAATAGATGGCTATCTACTTGTGGGGCAGACCAGCCTCTGAAAGTATTACTTTAAAGCAATTTTTCTCAGCACTTCAGGATTCAAATAAACTCTCTGAGACACTTTGTTGGTATAGATTTTAAATTACAAGCTTGACCTATTACCCTCAAATACAGTTCTTAAGGAAGATTTGTTACAAACAGTTGTCAGAACTTTCACATGGCAGAAAAAATTACATTATTGTAAAGCTGGGTGAACTTTTTACGTATGAGATAACAATTCTTTCATCATCAGATGGAATTACTCCAATTCATGCAATAAATGACTATTACATTTAAAAATGTTGCCCCAATACTCCCAGTTGAGATTTTCATGTGTATTTTAAGTTGACATCAATATGCTCCCGAGCTCACCTCGCCCTCCCTGGGGCGGTGAGGACACACATGTTCTTCTGAGGCTCAGCTGGGCCCTGAGGACCAAGGAATCATCTCGACCCTCTCAGCTCAGGGTCCATGGTTCCAGGAAACCTTGGGTTTCAGAAATAGTGGCCCTAGGCAAATACGACTCTGTGGTTTACTTAGGACTTTGCCAGTGATCTAAAGGGAAGAACAGGAGGAAGTTCTGATTTCTCTTGACATCAAGCCAGCAGAAATCAGACTCACCAAATTCCCATAACTAGAAATCAAGACAGTAAAACAGAAGAGGTGTGTCTATGATGGGGGTGCCCCTCACAGCAGATTTGGTGAATGTCTTTTATAGAACCACATAAGATAGTACCGTTGACATTTACATATTTTACATATAATTTGAATACAAATTCTTAAAATTTATAATAGAACATTAAAATAACCTTCTAATAAAATCAGCCTTAAGTATAAGGAATCTAAATTTCAGTATCTTGTGTACTTCTAAATAAATATCTTTGATCTATAATTCTTGAAAATATTATAGTTTATGGTGACATGAGACAAGTCAAACAGTATTATAAGTGAAAATAAAGCATCAATTTAAAAATAAACAAGCCTAAAAACACGAGGAACTGAATTTATAGAAAATCAAAATACTAAGCACATAGTAGTTATCTACATTGGGAAAACCGAATGCATGCTCAAAAACACACTTTCAACATATATAAAAAGCCCTTTAAAATTCACATAATCTAAATAAATAAGCAAAAACACAAAGGGAGGTACTGTACCAGCCAGTAATAACTAGAAAGTAATTTTTCCCTTTTTCTTTCAAATGACTCTGACAGAAAAAAACATGAAATAATGATCACTTGCTAAAAAACTATAATTCATGTGTTCTTTTAAAATGCTGCCCATGATATAAAAAGCCAAAGCAAGGCTTCCTAAATGTTAGACCTTAGAAAAGAAAATGCCACCTGACAGATTTAAACAAAAACCAGACATTTGCTTATTTAAGACATGATTGAATTTTCGCTTAATGACCCCATAAAAGGTCTAAATCAAGCCCATGATATAAATGCACTCTCAAACATCTGAATGCATGATCTGTTAACACTGAATTTTATATGGTGATTTCATTTCATTTCCCAAAGTTTTTTTTTTTAACCTAAGGCCAGAATTAAAACACCTAGAGCAGGAGCTGCTACCTTATTTACCTTTCTATTTTGGTTCTTAGAGTCTCAGAACATAATAGGTGCTCAGCAAGGGTTTGCTGAACCGAGTCCAGCACTCATCATCCTTCAGGAAGCACGAAACCCATGATGAGACGGTTGCCGGAGACTCGGAGGGAGCTCTTTAATTCTACCCCTCGGTCTGTAATTAATTTCTGGCTAGATAATCAAGTTAACAGTTTCTCATTTCAGGGTGAGATTTCTACAGCTCCTCCGTCCCACAGTTCAACCTTCTTTAAAGACTTGTGCCTGCACATCTATGGTCAAGTTAAAAGAATAAAGATAATTTCTGTTATTCTGTGTTGGGTATTTGCTTATGATGAATGGTCTGAAATACACATGTACGCACACGTGTGCACACGCATGCACGCACACACCACTTGTTTCACAAGTGGAGAACAAAATCTGGAAGTAATTCACAATGCCTAATCTACATAGCTCTCAAAGTAACTAAAAAAAGACATCGAAACCATAGGTAACTCCTTTTGATCATACACAAACTTATTGCGTGATGGCTGGAAGCAATGTCTTTGGACCAACAAATAGAAACCAAAAGCGTCCTTTAAGGGTTAGCTTGACAAGAAAGCTAAAAATGGTGTGGCTCCAACACTTCCCTGTTTAATTCCGCTCAGTGCAGCTCATTACACTAGGAGGCAGTGAGGAGGAGATGGACATGCTCTCCAAAGATCACTCCTTCCATCCACAGCGCTCAGGTCTACCTTTGCTTCAGCATGTGGATGATTCTGAGTCTCTCTGGACCACCATTTAAAGCTGCTGTTTCTGATGTCCATGGTACCTCACTGGGGGAAGGGGACGTCACACAACTCCTAAAATAAAAGCTGTTTAGAAAGCTTCACTCTTGATTCTCATTGCCAGCATGCCTGTCCCTCTTGAATGCCGCTAGGAGAGGTAGATCCAGTGTTTCAGTTCTGCCATTCCCTGCAGTAGCTTAGTGTAATAGAAGTCCACGTTGTCTGCGAAGTCCGTGCAGACAGGTGACTCCATGTCACCAAAAGTGCAGTATAATGCAGTTCCTCCAACACTAAGGAAAACCGTTGCTATGCACAGCAAGATCAGTAAAATACAGGAACCACTTCCAACTTCATCTGCAAACAATAAGAACAGAGTAAGGTTAAGCTGACACAAACGGGAAATCTGAGCATACACTGTCTTCTCACTGATTAAGATAACCAGATGTTTCTAATATTAGTCCTCTAGGGACAGGTGTCATCAACAGAAAGCTAGTGCACCTCATGACTCTACAAGGACCTATTTATTAGTTACCACAAAGGTATATGCTCATGGAGCTTGTCAACACTCAATTTAAAACCAGCTCATGTATGCCCTGGCTGGTTTGCTCAGTGGTCAGAGCATCGGCCCACAGACCAATGAGTCACGGGTTCGATTCCGGTCAAGGGCACGTACCTTTGGTTGCGATTTGTCCCTGGCCCTGGTTGGGGTCGTGCGGGAGGCAGCTACTTGATGTGTCCCTTATACGTCAATGTTTCTCTCTCTCTCTCTCTCTCTTTCTTCCTCCCACTCTATCTGAACAAAAAAGTGGAAAAGACAAAGATTAAAAAAAAAAGTGAGCTCCTTTGTACAATGAATAGGATTACTTCCATAAAAAAAGGAGAAAAAGGTAGTACTTCTTTGCTGTGCTCATAGCATTATTTTAGAATACAAATCATAACCTCACTATGACAATATCTTGGAGTTCACATCTTGGGACCACCTTAAAGCAAAGTCATTTTGATATTAAACCATAAGAAAATGACTTTGGGTGGGATCACTCTTGTATCTTAATAATACTGAACTTCATTCTCATTATTTAGTGGAATAGTAAAGTTCTAGCTAGTACAGTGATTTCATTTTATTTTGCTTAATAACTCTGGCAGGTTTGTTTTTAATAAAAAAGTCCACACCAGTCTTTCTATATTGAAGAAATATAGGAAGTCTTAGTGATTATTCATAATTAATTTGGAAATGACTAAAAAGTTTTATGATCAGCATGATGAACGTGTACCAAAACCTTCTTGGAATGTAATTTAGCAGCATCTATTAAAGTTTGAAATAAAGTATCCTCCAGACTGGGATGCCTTGAAGAGTGAGACAGAGAGTTAAGTGAATACAACGCTGGGACAGCAGATTACACCAGGGCTGCCTCAGGCCACTGGTCCCTGTCCTTCAGCCCAGCAACTGCACTTACAGGAATTCGCCTACAAATTCGCACAGCACACTATATCATATTTACAAGCACGTTTACTGCAACAAAACTTGTTATGATAACAAGTTTAGAATAGCTTATTTCAGTTATAGTGGAATAGTTAATTATAGAACATTCATATGATGAAATACTATGCAACTGTTTCACAGAATGAAGTAAATTAATATGTGCTGTCATAGGAAGAGATCTGAGATCAATAGCTAAATGAAAATGTGACATAATACATAATGAACCCATTTGTATTAAACATATGCACATGTATACACAGAATGTGTCTCGAAAGGATAATAAAAAATGTCAATCAATACTTGGGGGAAACCCTCAAGGAAGGATTGAAGACCTTATATTTTTTTACTTCATTACTGTCTGAGTTTTTTCATTATTAGCATGTATGACTTTTGGAAGATTTTCAGTAATATGTCAATATATATTATCCTTGTGAAAATTAAAATACCAAAGTCTAATCTAAGGGACTCTCCCCTTCTCTCTTACCCAATCACACTCCCCTCCTACCCCAGAGGCAAACACTGTTAATTGTGGTGTGTGGATGTTCTTCCAGATCACACACAAATGGTTTCAGGATTTTTATATAAATAGGATCATGTTGTTCTGTGATTTACACATTTATAGTTTAATAGATTTTACTAGTTAAATATATTTAATAGCTGATATGTATATATGCAAGTACTATATCAGTCATGTTTTATGTGTGTGTGTGTGTGTGTGTGTGTGTTTTGTCAGTGAAGTATTTTCACCATCTTTTCTTCTTTTGGCATGAATCCCTACCATCACCTTATGTGTCTTTCCGTATTTTTCTTCATATCGATTGATTTATATACAACATTTAAGAAAAATTTATTAAAAAACATGCTTTATCAACATGCGTTGAAACAATGTTTAGAGCTGCCGGTCCGACGTGGAAGCCGGCGTGGCCGCTGCGCACAGCGAAGGGACTTGGCTGAAGACGAGACGGCTACTGAGTGAGGCAGGACGGCCCGTTCAAACCCCAGGCTCCTCCCGGCGAGCCCCCTTCAGGGCCCCTTGGTGCAAACGAAGAATTAAGCATTGTAACTGGAGAATAATGTGAGAGCTACAAACAAGGCGCAGAGGTAAATGAGGGGTGGGAACAGATTATTTCCAAGGCTTCCACCAGCTTTACAACTGTAGAAATTAGAAACCTCTATCACTGGATGTCATACTTAGAAAGCATATCTACATGTTACGCTATTATTTTATAAAAACGAGGAGCATACTCATAGGTTTTTGGTTATATTTCCACTCACTCTTATTTACCGAGGCCCTAGGTAAACCTAGCAACCACCTTAAGCATAGGCCCAGGAGGAAAATGTCCAACAATAACAACAGCGTTCAATTGCTGCTCTTAGGGGACAGTCCCTTCTGTAGAGTCAAGAAATCACCAAAGAGAATATACCTGTAATCCCTGAATGTTTTCCATGCATATGAAATTGGGAGAATTAACTGCTGCTGAAAAGAAGACAAAAATAACAGACGCACTAAAAACAAAACTAAACACTAAACAAGGAAACAGAAAAGAGTTCTGAACATCGAGGACTGCCTGTGCATAGGAAGGCCAGGAGCTGGATTTTGCAGCTTACTTATTTGAGCAGACAAAATGCTGAGAAATTACTTAAGAACTGAAAAATACTTCAATGATCTGTTTCTTTTTTTAATTTTTTTTTCTTTTATTGATTTTAGAGAGAAAGGGAGAGGGAGAGATAGAAATATCAATGACAGAGAACATCAATTGGCTGCCTCCTGCATGCCCTGCACTGGGGATCGGGCCCACAACCTGGGCATGTGCCCTGACGGGGAATCGAACCAGTGACCTCTTGGTGCATGGGTTGATGTTTAACCACTGAACCACACTGGCTGGGCAATGATCTATTTCTTTATAGAAGATAAAACAACCTCGTCCATGTATTCTTTTACAAATCCTGTTACCTTTTACTGTACATTGAATCATTCCCCAGCAAACACCAGAGTCAACCACGTGTTAGCGCTGAGCTTACTCACTGACCTTGATCTAAATTATCGTCTATTTCTTGGAATCTCACTCTTCGCTTAGATGGTTTCTGTTGCATCTGGGCAGGGTGGTCTCCTACAGCATCATTCCTCTTCTTCAATATAGAGACCAACCCTTCAGCAGGCACAACCTGTCAGAGAGGACAAGAACCCCTTGTTAAATTATGGTGGGAAATGTCAATGGTATTTTACATGTAATGGTAACAAGGCTAATTCAATTCAATGGCATTTGAATGTCTATTATAGGGTTATTTAATTCCTATTAGAAATCACAATTCATCATCAAAATCAAACAGAACAATACTTTCACTTCTATGCAGATGACGGTCAGACACACACGTCTGGAATGGCTTTTCTGAAGCCCTGAACTGACTCCAGGCAGCATGTGACAAGGGCAGCGGACTGGACGCCAGGCCTCTAACTGCCCTGCTTTGCAGCTCCATTTCCCTGCTAAGTAATCTGTAGAATGATCCCTCAGGACCCCTCTTTGCTTAATTATCATCGATAGGTTTTGCTTTACAACACAGGCTAATAACTTACCACTGCTTTTTTCATTCATCAGCAATTTTAAAGAAATAAACATGTGAGACTTAAAATATATTTGATATCAACTTTCAACATCAACATGAGTGTTGTCCTCAGTTCCTCTGAGAAACAACGCGTTAACTAAAGAATGCTCAACTGCTCAAAATATTTTAAGGACTTCTCTTCTAAGCTCCCTCGGAGCCAGTGCACTAGGGACATACTACTTTGTAGTACGTGCAGGTGGCCAAAAATTGTTCAGTAGGCCAAAGGCCTTCTGCCTATTTTTAATTTTTATTTTGTTAATCTTCACCAGAGGATATTTTCCCATTGATTTTTAGATAGAGTGGAAGGGAGGGAGGGAGCGAGAGAGAGAAAAAGAAACATCAATGTGAGAGACACATCAATTGGTTGCCTCCCACAAGACTCTAACTGGGACCAGGAATTGAACCTCCAACCCAGGCAAAATCATTTTTCTTTGTTGTTTGAAGGGGCTCTTTAACATGGTTGCTTTCCAAAGCAAGATTTAAAAGGCCGTTTCCTTGACTGAGAATTGAATCTGTGACCCTTCAGTCTGCAGGATGATGCTCTAACCACTGAGCAAAACTGTCCAGGGTGGCCCTCTGCCTATTTTAATGTAACAAAATGTAACTGGAACCCAGCCAAACCCATTCATGTAACATATTGTGTATAAGCGCTGTGGGGCTACAATGGCATAACTGTGTAGGTACAACAAACTAAAAACTCTAAAAATATTTATTATTTGGCCCTCATTGAAAATGTTTGCTGTCTAATATCTCTTCAGCCCCCCTCGCCACTACTACCCCTGTTTTTGTTTCCTTCTGGTTTTCACTTGGGATACCTCCCTCCTGCCTCTGCCCTACCCCTTATTTAAGAACAAAGACAAAAACAAAAACCTTTGCCATTTAGCAGTGAGAAGACTCCAAGGTGTAGGCAGAATGAGAAGATCCGCCGGTGGAGCTAGGCTGGGAAGCAGGAGGCCTTCCCAAGGGTCCCCTGAGCAGTAGGCTGATCCACAGAAAACAACTGGTGAGCTGCATGCTGGGACAGCTGCAGGTGATGACACAGGTGGGCATTGTGGGCCCAACACTGGAGATGTCAGCCACTTGCTGGGATCCTATCACTGTAAGCTGAGGACTGCTTGTAATGTCATTTAGCTGATCAATGGCATAAAATACTTAATATGATTTCCAGTTCCAGCCAGCCACCTGATAATGCACTATACATAAATATTATAGATTCTATCAGTTCTTTTTATAACTCAAGGCTTTTAGGGCCAAATAACTCAATATAGGCTTCTGCAGGGCTTTCCTGAACATGGGTCTATAGAAACCATTATCTAACAACTACAAAAAAATCAATGTCAGCAATTCATTCTTTTTATAGAAAATATATATTTCAGATGATGTCCTTCTTTAGAGAACACTAAAAGACTCTGGTGACATTAAAATGGTAAGTACAAAGAAACCACCTTTGAAATCTTGCGTTAGAAAGTAACAACATTAAAGAGCCCCTTCAAACAACAAAGAAAAACAATTTTATAGGCACCCTGCTGAAACGGAGAGGGAAAGAAGTCCTAATAGCTTCCTTAAGAGCAAGAAATGGAAAATCAAAATTAATTTAATGAGTACATTACTACTCCAGATGACATTTTTAGTAAATGTTAAAAAAACGAGGTTTTCATAGACTATTTTCTCTATAAATTAAAGTCATACATTTACCAACAGTGAATTCACATTCCACAGGCATTTTCAAGTTGTTTTAACTACTCAGAATAAACAAGCTGAAATGAGCCCCAAAGTGACATTACTGCCAACTGTATATCTTTGTGATATGAACTTTGAATCTATAAATTTAAGGCATAAATCAAAGGACATTGCAAATATGAATAAACGAATTTGAAAGAGAAAAGCTCTGGAAATCATCTGGAAAGACACAGAGTGTGCTTCCAAGATCAACCCACAAGTCCTAGTGCAGCGGCTGCTAGGCCCCTACCTTAGCTCCTGCTTGGCCTGCTCTGGGGTGTCTGGCTCTGAATGTCAAGCTGCTAAGGGACACAAGCCTTCCCAAGTGGCCTCACCTTATTTACCACGGGCGGCAATGAACTCTGGCAACGTTTTGAAAGAGGGAAGGAGTAAAATATGAGAAATTACAGCTGGGTGGGATAGGTCAACATTTTGACACTCTCCCCCACCAACCCTTAATTATTGTCTACGAATCTAATCACCCTCTACATTTTCTTTTCCCTTTTCTCTGCACCCAAAACCTGCTGTTTCATCAGGGCCTGCCCCAGTGTCTGAAGCACAGTGTGCTCTTTTCCTTTATTTCCTTTCAGTCTTGCCCAGGGATCTTTTCCAGGGTTCCGTCTCTTTTCTAACCGCGTTCTGGTCCTTAGTCTCCCATGGAGAACGGGGACGGTGTGCCCAGGCTCAGGCACAGGAAATGCACGCCAGTGGCAACTCTCAGAAAACAGGTGGTGTGGGCCTTCCTATTCTGGCCCAAGACTGGGCAGAGGTCTTAGAATCCACCCCAAGGACAGAAATTCCTACCTACCACACCAAGGCAGCCAAACTTAGAGAGTTTAAGAAAGAACTTCGGTAGAGTTTTCCTTAATTCTATGGTAGAAGGGAAGTAAGCCAAAACAAGGTCACAGCATTAGTTTGGGGTCACACTCAAAGACTGCCAAGTGTTTCTAAGTAGGGTGGGAAGTTGATTTAGGGCACAGAGTAATGTGTCCCCTCCAAACTACTCTAAGAAGACATTTCTATGCCCCTCTTTTGCCATAATGTTGATATTAAACGAGTAAGAATTTTTAAACCTCAAAAAAACCCACAAAGCTTTAAAAACTAAATTTGGTTTTCCACTTGGATTACCAAATTTCTTTGCTACCTCCCCCCCCCCCCCCATATACCAAGCCCTTCCATTATGAACTAAAAGAATGTTAAAACTGTGCCCTGGCCGGTTTGGCTCAGCGGTTAGAGCATCGGCCTGCGGTCCAGAGAGACCCGGGTTCGGTTCCCGCTAGGGGCATGTACCTCAGTTGCAGTTTGTCCCCGGCCCTGGTTGGTCGTGCGGGTGGCAGCCACTCGATGTGTCCCTTCACATCGATGTTTCTCTCTCTCTCTCTTCCTCTCTCTCCCTCCCACTCTATCTGTACAAAAAATGGAAAAATGTCCTCGGGTGAGGATAAAAAAAAAAAAAAAGAATGTTAAAACTGTAATTACTATATGTTTTACTGGTGGTGCTCTTAGGATAAGTGCAGAATTCAACAACAACACATCCATCTGGCCTGGTCCTCTATATTTGCTACAAGTACTTCTTCTTCATGTCCCCTCAAATGTCGATAATCATCTTACACAGCTTCTTAAGAATGAACTGACTGCAAAAACAAAATTATTTTGCAATTCTACAGGTACAGTACATCCCACTGTGACAAAGTAAACATTCAGAGGTCTTGACGTTAGAACCTCCTCCTCACAAAATTGAAGAAAATAGATACCAAATGGTACTCTTTTACTGACGTAGGCTTTACTCAATCCAGAACCTCTTGGCTTGTAAAACTAAACATGACACATGTGTGGCTTCCAACTAACTTGAGAATTAACAGTCATAAGTCACATTAGCCTATTACAAACAGCTTCAGTGCCAGCAACCTCACCGCAGAAGCACATGTCAAATTTACCCCTATTATTCCGCCCTCAAGGAGCACGTGATGTTCTCTGCCTGCTCCTTTACATATGGGCTCTATAATAAGACTGATAATTCAGTGAATCGGTATACTTTATGTAAGACATTTACACAGTAAGTCACATTTAATCTTTCTGACTCTCGTACACAGGCATTAGCAGCTCCATTTCACAGCAGCAGCCGAGCTCAGAGAGCTTAAATAACAAGTTTAAACTTGTAGCACCAGTTACTGGCGGAGTTTCACTACAAACGCACGATTAAATCTCCTGCCATTTTCCTAATGTGAAAAAGATCTTATTTTCTATGACTATTACATTTTTGCTTAGTCTGTCTGACTTATTTGCTTAGCATGATGCATACTCTCAAGACCCATCCATGCTGTCACAAATGGCAGTATTTCATTTGTGACAGAAAAGGACAAGAGTTGTATGATTTTACACATATGTGAGATATATACACAGAAAGCAACAAATGCACGAACAAAACAAACAAACAAACAAACAAACAAACAAACAAACAAACAAACAAAAGAAAGCAGTGTGCTGGTTACCGAAGGGGAAATGGGGAAGGAGGAGTTAGAACAGGATAAAAAGGGTCGAATATATGGTGACAGAAGGAGATCAAATTTTGGGTGATGAGCCCTGGCCGGTTTGGCTCAGTGGTTAGAGCATCGGCCTGTGGTCCAGAGAGACCTGGGCTTGGTTCCCACTAAGGGCATGTACCTCGGTTGCAGTTTGTTCCTGGCCCTGGTTGGTCGTGCGGGTGGCAGCCACTCGATGTGATCCTTTCACGTCGATGTCTCTCTCTCTCTCTCTCTCTCTCTCTCTCTCTCTCTCTCTCTCTCTCTCTCCCCCTCTCTTTCCCTCCCACTCTATCTGAACAAAAAATGGAAAAATGTCCT